AGTGGTACAAAGTTTGAAAACCTTCTAATTGATTATCTGGACCTCGAGATATGTGGATATAAGATAAATAAAAGAATTTTAAATCTTAAAAATAGTGCGTCTTTTAACAAGTTATCAAAACGGTCTATTTTCATATTATCAGGCGCTAATAGATTCACTTTATCTGTTACATTTTTGAAATTTTAAATTTCTTATTTAAGTTTCAACATGAATTTTCAAGTCATCGTAAGGTTTTTGAAGCTAGAAGTACATCTTAGACTTGTATAGTATAAGGTGGCACCTCATACAATTCTTACCTTTTCTGTAAGAAAAAATTTATATGAGGATGCAACGTTATAATGTACAGCTATGGATGCACCTCCAAAATCCATCGAAAAAGGTAGTTTTAATGTTGAAAAACCCTTTCATTGATCATCTCGTATGACCATGAAAAATAAAATGATTTTAAGTCTAAAAAATAGTGCATTTTACAACATATTATCTACACCGTCCATTTTCAAGATTTTCATATGTTTATAGATCTATTTGATTTTAACTATTTTTAAAATTTAAAATTTTATAATTAGATATAAAAATAAATTTTAAGATAATCCTAAATACATTTTACATCAAAATTATATATCATGATAAAATTTTATAATTAGATATAAAAATAAATTTTAAAATAATCCTAAATACATTTTACATCAAAATTATATATCATGATAAAATTTGAAGGTGCACCTTACCTCTACAGTTACGGGTGCATCCGTATGCTAATCGCCTCTAATGGCTTTTTCTAATAAAATCCCTATAAAAATGGCATTTGATTTCCCTATTATATTACTTTTTTAGATCTAAGGATTTGCATGAACCCACAACACAAGCGAATCTAACGGCCAATAAGTGTCATGTCCGACACGTGCAATGTTTGCTCCCTGGTCCCCTACCCACGTTTGAGTTGAAGCTTCCTTTCTCCTATCCTTTTTACTTCAATTTAATTAAAAAATAATGTCAATTATTATTTAACTGTGTAAAGAATTCATATGATGAATAGTGACAGGTCGTCACTGATTTGTCCCTTTGTCCAATGAGCAGGGTTCGGTTCTTGCTTCCTGGAAACTCGCCTCATGACTTTTTACTATTTAGAAACTTAAAAATGACCAAATTACCCCTTGCATATTTTTTTGATTGGGCAAAAAATCACTTGGATTATTACTAAGATGGCCCTCGATCCAAATTTGGTAGATAGGGAAATGACGAATTCTTTAGCTGGATTTGAAGTAAAGGGCATCTAAGCTTCTATTTTGTGGTAAAAGTAAAAGGAGAATAAAAGATATATTTTTATATTTTGATATCTATAGAATGTATAAAGAAAGAGGAATTGTATGCTATAAGGCCCATTACCTATGATATAAGAAGGTTTTGTTAGATGTAAAATTAGAAAGTTTGGAGTACTGTCATAGGCTTTGAAATTTTTTTTTTTTGAGTTTTGAGCCTAATCAATGATACAATTTCAATTAAAAAATTTTAATTTAATTTTAAAATATTGATTGCAACATTATGTTAAAAGTAAATGGTCTTATCGTATACTATACGAAAAAAAAAAAACATTTTAAGTTAAAACGACTAGCCCATGTCCCTTAGCATGTTGATTTGACTACCTAGTATCACATTTCTACATAAACCGGTTCATCAAGACAAAAATGAAATGACGATGTTTAATAAGAACATAAAACGTTCCATTTTACATCACTGTTTAAGAATTCTGACCCATGCTCCCAACCATTTCAATTGAATTGCCCATTCTCGACTCAACTCGTCCATTCTGGTATCCAGAACGGCATGGTGCATATGTTGTGTGCAAAAGCTCTAAATCCGATGGGTTGATTTTTGGCGAATAAAGTACGAGAAATAAAATACGAAACACATAGCACAAGAACACAAAAGATTTATATGGTTCACTTTAGAAGGGCTATATCTATAGGCATCACAAACTGAAATCCACTATACCAATGAAAGTTGCATTAATGATTTTGGATCAAACCTATACAAAAACACCGTCGAGCAAACCCTTTTAAACCACTCTCCCTTCTTTCTCCTTACTTTTGGTAACTATTATTGACAACACCAGATAGAGACACGAGAGCAATAAAAAAATGACTTTCTCTCTAACTAAAAAAAGGGAAATAACCCAAAATTCTATTGAAATTGCTTTTCTACAAGAAACAAATATCTTAATCTATTAGAGTCTAAAAAAAGTATCTGCACAATGTTTCTCTTTATAAGAAGCTTTATTATCTAAGAGAAAATTGCATCTTATGCACAAGAGGTTATGCCTCTCTCTCTTTCTAGAGAAACCGCCATTCCCATATGGTTACTCAAATAGGGTACACAAAAATTCTCTCCACTTTCATCTCATGTATATAAGATTAGGAATCCATACTAAATAGAAAACTGCATACCTTACATATGTTTCAAAATTGAGAGATAAATCCAGGAATCTTAATCTTATTGGATTTTTATTTCTCTTAAAATACTTATCAATATCAATCTCACATAGTAACATCTCAATCCCACATAATATGAGATTTTTTTATGTGGGTGATTTTATATAGCCAAACATAAACAAAAAAAAAAATCTAAGAAAAAAATCACTTCCAAACCCAAAAATCATCGAGTCCAAACAATATATTGCCAAATTCACATCAAACCGGTGGGATTCTCGTGTTCGTGAGCATCCAAAATCTGGACGAACTCAGTACCGATCGACAGACTTAATTATGGGTGATTTTTAAATCACTTAGCAACTCGAAGTGGACACAAACTTAGTGTTTGGGCATTGAGGTGATAAAAGACAAAGACAAGGGCGAGTGCATAACGTTGTCTGTGATCCAATGTAGCTTAAGAGAGAGTGTGGGGTGGGCCATATGGGGAAAAAGAAAAGCGAGTTACCCTCCAATTTGGTCAGTACAGGGCGAGGTGCGTTTAAGTTGTGATCCACTACATTCTACATTCTTATCATTTTAATCCACTCCACCTCCCAGAAAACAAAGCACTTCTTAAAAAACAAAAGAAAACGCTTTTTTTTAGGGCTGTGGTTTGTATATGGCCAACTCTAAACGATCAAAGTAAGCGCACTTTCAAATAGTATTGAAAGATGTTGTTTTAATATTAGAATTCGGCTTGAAATTTTATTTCATTTGTAAGTTAAAATTTAAAATTTCAAACATCGAGCATATCTATGAACACTTGAAAATAGACGGTTTGAAAATACATCAAAAGATGTATTGTCCAATACTTGAAATCCATTTTTTTTGATGTCTATACCTCTTAAAGTTGAAAGGATCAATTTTAGGATTTTTCGGCATCGAAATAACTTGTTTTAGTAAATATTTGAGGTATGCCTTATATAAACGTTTTACTTTCTTTTTCAAAATTTTTCCTTGAAACACTAATCGCGCTCTTTCTTTTTTGACTATTGACACATGTGAAAGTGTAGAAATTTTAAACAGTAAATTGTACAAGAGTGCACATAGAATCCTAGAATTTCATGAAAATTTTCAATTTTCATTTAGCTAATTTTATTAAAAATATAAAACAAGCTCCTTCTATATATATATATATACCATTAAACGTCCGTCAGATCCCTTAGCAAACTACCACCTCTCTCTCGCAATCACTCATTTCATCTCCTTATATATACCTCTCTCCTCTCATTCATTGAATCACACCTCTCCCCCATTTCCTCTAAAACACAGACTCTCTCTCTAAAACAGTCACATTGGTCATCTGTCTTCTTCTCCCATTGATCAAGATCTCTCTCTCTCTCTCTCTAGAAATGGGCCTGTGCTGCTCATGCGAAGCCCCCATGATATCGACGGCAAAACTCATCTTACTAGACGGCAAGCTCCAAGAGTTTGCAGGACCAGTGAAGGTCTCACACGTGCTCCAACACAACCCCTCGTGCTTCATCTGCAACTCCGATAACATGGGCTTCGACGACTTCATCTCGGCCGTCAGTTCCGACGACGAGCTCCAGCCAGGCCAACTCTACTTTGCTCTTCCTCTCTCTAAACTGCAAAAGCCCCTCAAAGCCTCAGAAATGGCTGCCTTGGCTGTGAAAGCAAGCTGTGCTCTCAAAAAAACAGCAAGAGATAGGCAGATTAGGATTAATCCAGTGTGTTTTCCGGTCGAAAATGGACGGAATTTGTGTTTTCAGGCCAATTTTTTGGTTGAAAATGGACCCAAAATTTCGTCTTGTGTTGGAGGTTTAGAGAGAGAAAGAAGGAGAAGGCCCAATGCTTGTTACAGGCCTTCATTCAAGGACAGGCTTGGTGCCATTGAGGAAGGGTGCACTCTTCATTGAGACTTTTTTCATTTTATTTATTTTCCGTTTTTGGGGGAAAAAAACTGATTGGAATTGCGAAGGAGACATGGGAAGACGAGAATTTGTGAATATAATTTTTTTTTCGTTGCCTCTATTTGGAATTGTCTTTTTATGTGCATTTGATGGGATTTAGATGTATTTATTGATGGAAATTGTTAAAATAAGGCCAAGGATTTATGGAGAAAGTAAGGCCTCAAAGTTATAGTTCTCGAAACTCGATCATCATAATCTTGATCATTATGGATTTGATCAAAAACTACGTTCGAATTTTAAAAATAACCAATATTGTAATACATTATCTAAATTGCTTATTCTCAGTGTTTATATCGACAAGATCTATACTATTTTTTAAGATTCAAATTTTAAAATCAGTGGGAAAATAGGTTTTAGAGCCATGTTATTTCCGACACGGTTTAGAGGTGATGCTTTACTCTTCTTCTTTTTAAAAAGCGAAGGCCTTATAAAAACCGCATCTTTTGGGATTAAATCACACCTCAAAGTCGAACTATCTAGCATCTCTCCGTGCAATTTGATAAGGGGATCAAATCACACCTCAAAGAGTTGGAACTATTGAGCATTTCTTAATGCAATTTGATAAATTTCAAAACTTAGTCATTTCATGGGCAACTTGAAATCTGGTTAAAAATGATAATGGGTTATTTGAAATTAGATAAAAAAACACGACCGAATATTTGATTTTTGAAGTCTGCTTTTATAAATTTTCCACGATTTTATTGTGTCTTATTTTAAAGAACTCGGATATCAGTTCATAATCTCAACCACCATGATCGAAAGGAAAAAGATTTTAAACCTTTAGAATATACAATTCGAAACTTTATTTATATTCATTCATTTTAATTCTTCATAAATGATCAGATTTTCACTATTGGCTGAAAAGGCATCGACCTAAAACCAACATGTATCTACAATGACTCAGGATGTATTTTACGTCCTAATTTCATATCTTCTTAAAAAGAGGTTGCATTTCAATGAGACCACCATCTCAACTTCGCTAATGCTAGAATACATAGCTAACAAAGATCCCATTAATACGTGGTAACAGTTTTCTAGTGGCCATTAGATGATAAATTGGATGGCTCCGGGTGTGTCACAAAATTTGGGATTTTTTTTAAAAACTTTGCGTTTAGGCAATGACATTAATCATAACCACACGATTTGAAATCTGGCGAACAAGGGTGATTTTAACATCCTTGTCGTTGATTTAAAAACCACCGGGTCTATACAAGATCGCCCCGTCTGATCCGGGAATCTGTCACCCCATGCAGGTTTTGTCAATACATAGGAAATTGTCTTGGTCCAGAAGAAAGCCGGTGATTTGCAGTAGTAAACCGATATTGTACTATAATAAAAACTTTGTTTTGCTACAGTAAAATCGGTTTTGGCCGGCTCAATGTTTTTGCACATGTTTTTTCGTTGGTTAACTTTCTTTTTTTTTTTTTTGTATAATACAACGGTGATCCGGACGACTGATTTACCGATCAAAACTGATTTTTACGATGGCCGATCCGGGTCACCAATCCATTTCTTAAATAACGGGTCCTTGTATTAAAAATAAATTATCTAAATTTTATTATGAGAGGATTGTTTTAAAACAAAAAAACTGATAAAAATAAGGGAAAATGAGCTTTACCCTTTTCCCCGAAACTTTTATTTAGCCCTATTAGCCCATTGGGTTAACCATAGTCCCTTGTACCCCTCAAATTTAAAAATTTGAGATTGTCAGCCCCTTCATTGTGTTTCTTTATTTATTTTTTACAAATTTGATCTTTTTATTTTACAAAATTTTTCCTTTTATTTCTCTTCCATTGCCTAAAACCAATCTTACCTCTATGGATCCTACTCTATAAATTTAGACATAAAAAAAAAAAAGATTTTTTCTTTAACACTATGGCATATTTTACAATTATATCAATATGGTTTGAACTTGAAAAATGATTAATCAAGATATTTGTTACTATTGTAACAATAGTTATTATCATTTATTTATTAAATTTTTATTATCAAAATACTTATCAGAAATGAAATATTTAACAATTAATATATTATTATTGTTATTATAATAATTATAAATTATTATCATCAATAAAATTATATATCAAGTCACAAAAAAATATGGATGATTAATGTATGGGTATGACATTTTGTAAAACAAAAAGTTCAAATTTGTAAAAAAAATTCAAAAAAATATAATTAAAAGACTGATGGTGGTAAAGTTAAAAACTTGAGGGGGTGGAAAGATATTGGTAACCCAAAAGATTAGAAGGAATGGAAATTGGGGGAGAGGCCATTTTCCCTAAGAAGAAAAAGAAAAAGAAAAAAATTGGCATCAATAGTAAGCATGGTGCGGCAAGGGCAGGCGATCCGCATTCCAAAATATGACCTAGGAAAACGTGATAGCCAAGTGATGTGAATTTGTCACTATTATTCTGAGTTTTGTCATTTCCTATCCTTTCAATTCTCTCTCTCTCTCTCTCTATCTCTATGTTATCGCAAGGTGGTTGGATCCATTTCATTTTCTTTTCCATCAAAGCGCCAGCCTGTAAACTATATACATGCGTTTAAATGCCAACCTGTACTTTCTCTCTCTACACCCCTAACTGCAAGTTTCTCTCTCTAAGATTAACGTAAGATTTACACCAAAAGTCAAAATATGCATGCGTTAATGCCAACCTGTAAAGCCTCTCCTCCTCTTTCTCACGTGTGTACTAAGGATTTGCCACTTGTGATGACCGATCGAAAAAGTGTTTCGTGAGTCGGCCGACTCACGCAATTCTTGTGCGGTCTCCTTATGAAATAGATGTCAAAGATGTATTTTCGATCTAAAATTTGAGAGCTCAATAATATCAACTACGACAATTGAGATTTTTTTTCTTTCTTCAAAAGAGATAAATATTATTTTTGAAACGGATGTACTATTTTTTAACATCCATTTTAGAAATAGACGTTACATAGAGAATAGGCCCCACACGGTAATTGGTGAGTCGGCAAAACTGTGTCCTTTGTCCAGTTAGTTGGTCACTCTTTAGTCCCTCAACTGTGTCGTCTAGACTAAGTCTGTCTCAAATTTAGCAATCGGACAAGGGTTATCTCTCTAACACAACACTAAATCAAATTCCAAATCCTGAGGCAGGCAATTTTCAAGGTTCTCCTGAAAATGACTACATTCATTACACTCTTATGGAACAAGTGTTAACATGAAGGACGGGGTTTATATGAAGAAGCCGAGTCATATGTGCGCATATGTTTTTCCTCTAAAATTTATGTTAAAGATAGATTTTTTTTATCCAAATTTTAATAGATTCATGATCTTGGTCAAATTTAAAGGATTTCTAGCGTCAGAATAACATTTTTAGACGGTTTTTTTAGAGTGTCTTTCCTTTGAAATGTAAGGTTTGGGGCTGGCAATAGATTGGCCTTGGCGGGGCTAGCCTTGGCCTTAGCTTCGCTGTGGTCCCTTTAGGGCCAGCCCAAGCCTTGCCCAATTCTAACCAGGTTGAAGAGGATTGGGCCTCCCAATAGAACTTAAGAAAAAACAAAGAAAAATACAGGGTAAAAAAGCATTGGCCAAGTCCTTGGGTTTTGGTGGCCCAGTCTGTCACACCACACTTTGTGGCCTAGGCCCTAATTTTTTGGGGCCTGGCTGCCAGCCTATTGCCAACCCTATAATGAGGTTGAAACCCTATAAGCTTTTATGGAAAGGGTTAGAATAGGACCTTGTAAAAAAGGTTAAAGCACAACTTTCAATCCCACTTTACAATACCGGCATTCAAAAATCTTCAAATTGATGAATTTGATTTTGACAATTATGGATTTTGGAAAAAAAAGAACATGATTTCAACTCATAAATATAATGCATCTTGTAACACATTATATATACCTTTAATTTTTAGGTGTTTATATATCTATTAGATTCACACAATTTTTCTAGCTTCAAATTTTATAGGTAAAAATGGAAAAACAACTTTCAGGTCATCCTATGGGTTTCGGAGCCTTGAACTATATATTTTGATATGTCTTTCCTAGGCCTTGTACAAGAGTTGCTTGAACAAGGCGGTACTTAAAGGTGAATCATGTCCGATCGAATGTGAAATAAGGTAGTTGGATTCAATATGCCCTTAACTGTGCTCAATGTCCATGAAATATTTTCTCAAACTTTGTATATAGAACATACATATCATTATCACCGAAATTTTACATTTGATATTTAATGGCTAAAGGTAATTGCTACCTTCCCATCTCAACAGTAAATTAATCCCTTTAATATTATTTTAAAACTAAAAGCCCCAAAAAAGTGTTCCTACTTGAAGCAACTTGCTGTTTCCTTACAATTAATTATTTAAAATTTTAAACTGACGCGGTATGATCGGCCGATTCTGATTTGAGGAGCCCTGGAATCGCCCCTGTTCTCCAATTTTTTAATTTTGCATAATTTCTTTGTTAATCGTACCTAGATCCGACTTGGGAATCACTCGTGGGATCAGGTGAATCAGAATCGGACCCCTAGCGTACACGATTTTTCAATCACAGCTAAAAAAATCAAGAGCCTAGAAAAAGCCCAATAGGCAAGACATGGTCTCTTTTCTCTCTATGTGAGATTTTACAATGGTACAATCTTAGAATTGGGTCTAACCTCATAAGCCAAAAGCAAGCTAGAGACTCTTTTTTCTTCCCTTGCAATAAAAGTCGGAACATGGTTTCTCTGAGTCACCTCTTAAGAATCTATTTTCGAGATGGAAATCAATAAATTTTGAAAATTAAAAATAATAATTTTATTAAAAAAACATTTGAATCGTTAGTTTCCATTGGTTTTAAACCGCAAATGTAGAAATGTAGTCCCCATCCCATGAAAGAATTTTCAATAAAAGCCCAAAAAAAAATGGTTGTTCCTTATGAGAAATGATTGCCATTCATTTATATTGCCACTCTAGCCCCTTGTTTCTATCCATGGCAAGGCAAACATTCCATTGTGAAACTTATGTCATGCCAAAAGTCCCATAGCATAATACTGTATTTATATAAGTCTAGGGTTTCCAAGCATTTTCTATGTAAGACATCCATATAATCCAAAC